GTGACAGGATTAACACAAGCATTTCTTTCAAGAATTCTTGAATGTGTTAATGCCAAATCTAGTTTCCACAAATGTTTGCATGGGCACATTAAAACTTCACATTTATCCCTGTAACTCTTGAACAGTTGAGAAGAACAGGGCACAAATCAGGACTGAAGCAAATAAATTCAAAACTGCACATGAATATTTGCAACAGACTAATTTCAGTATTCACCCAGCTCTAGTCTCACTAGTGTTCAAGATATACCTACATTTTTCATCAAGAAAATACTTCCTACTTTCAGTCTTTTGTATTGCTTATTCTACACTTCACTGTTCTGAAAGCCCCATGGCAACACTGAAGCAAATCTAACTTCACAATAAATGGAGCACATTCAGTAGTTATTCAATCATTGCTTTAGCAATATCATACATATTTGGCCCAGAAGCTATGAGTAAAAGAATGACACTTTTTGTTTAGAAAATAATAGCCATGTTGTGTGTTCAAAAATATGTGTACTAAAAGCTTCATTATAGATACATACATCTCACCATCTATCATCTATAAATATGCAATCTTGGACATGAAAAACTGTCTGCATTTAATTTGATAGACTGGCTGTATGTTGTTCTCATTCTGAGGGAAAAGGATGCTGCAGTTTACTTGCTCATGCATACCTTAAAATAGACAGGTATGAATGAGGTATTAAGGGACTCATCATCTTATCTTTAAATCCTGGAAAAATTATTAAAAACTATCTTAAAAAAGGATTCTAAATAAAACAAGTTTGTTTCTCATCCAACTAAAAATTCCATTGATTGGTCCAATCAGCATGACTTGGTGGTCTTTTTGTACTGCCTCTTGCATTCCAAGCCTTGAAGCATCTGCTACAGAAGTTTTATTTCCTTTATTTATTTATTTATTTTCCCAATTTTGTTTCTAATCTTTGTTTTTTCGTGGTTTCCTGGACTCCTTCTGACAAAGCCACATACTCCATTCTTGTCCTTTGAGGCACTGGAGGGCACTGCAGAACACATGAAATTTGTTTCCAATTTTACATCTGCCAAAAAGCATTCCTGGGTTAACAATACATGCCAATAGCATTGGTAGGCCCTCTCTTGCTAATGCCACAAAATAAACCAACCCAAAAGGAAATCAAACAAACTAAAATGCAGCACAAATATTTTTGCACTTTTTAGCCTGTGAAAACTTTCCTCCCAGTTAGGCTTTTTGGAATTCAATATTTTTCCTGTTTGTATTTAGAAGTAATTACAGTACCAGAAAATGGGAAGAAAAGGTTCAACTTTTTCCTTTTTGCTGGTCATGGCTATCAGGAAGAGATCATAAATATCTCTGGAGACATTTTAGAAGCATGTTGAATCTGATTTCCTTACACACAATTTGTACATTTAAACCAACTGCTATAAACAGTAAATCAAACCCTATACTAAGTTAGTTATTTCAGGACACTCCCTCTGACCTTCCTTCATCATTTAAATAGGATATGCTTTACGCAAAATATTTGTTTAGTCATCTCACTTTTATATCCTAATTTTATACCCAAATTATTTTATATCCATGCCAGAGTAAGCCTAACACAATGAACACAGCATCACTCAAAGAACAAAGGGTCCAATTAAGTGAAGTGCTGTGACTAGAGCATCATGTTCAGTTACTTCCACTGGCATCAACAGGACTCCTGCCTGCACTGAAGGGACTACTTACTCATGTGCTTAAATTTAAGCACATGCTCAAGTGCCTTACTGGATCAGGGACCTAACTGATAGTAGCGGAAATCATTTTTATCCATGTTGAACCTCAAGTAACAGTCCAGCCCTGAGAATTTAGAATGGTAAATGGAACAGAATTCCAAGAACTGAACACTTCCTATCTTATAAATTTTATGAAAGTCTGTGTTACTACTCAGTATTTACAATGATCATGAGTACCAACATGTCCAAAAACAGGCTTAACCCCTATTGTACCACACACACAAGATATAGGGGTTACCCTTAAAGAGTTTACCATTTTGGAAATCTCAGAGTGGGAACCCCATTTCAGACATATCCATAAAGGTAACAAATTATATACTTTAACACTTCACATGAACCTAAATGATAAATCCTTTAGTTGTGCCACGTGTACAATCGCTTTGCAATAGAAGAGTCAGCTCCTAGCTATGAGTCTCCTCAGAAAGTTCAGTTTTGCCAGTTTGGGACAGAGAGGCAGGAGTGGACAGGGCTACACTATGCAAAACTTTATGGATAGTTTCAATTTAAATCTAGGCCCATTTCATAAAAAGTTCCCTGGGTTTCAGAGCATAAAACCAAATGATTTTGTTTAGCACTAACCCCCAAGCTTTGCTGCCTTTCAGACTAAACTACAGAGAATTTACTGTGTTAAACTGACAATATGTATATTTTAAAACTTTGTTTGGTTCTTGAACAATCTAAGTTTGCTGTGTTAGTGACTTCTCTCTTCTTTTTCTGTAAAGGAATCTGTTGGCAAGAAAAAAATCAACTCTGCAGATTTTTAGAGACTAATCTGTCCATCTACACACATGCACAGCATATATTGTACTGTACTAAAGTCTCTTTCAATATGGATTAGGGGCTAATAAGCTATATGGTTCTGCAAATGTTTCTGGCCTTCTCTTTTTAGTTGTTATATAAGAGTCATATTTCATAAGAAGAGAAACATATGGATTATATCTGTCAAGCACTGGAGGGTCATAGAGTCCGCTGCTGAAACACATTTGGAAGAAAACAAAGCTATCTACAAGAAAGCTGTTAGAATAATTGATTTGTTTGGTTTGTTGGCCAAAGAAAAAGAAAAATACAAATTTAAAAAAAATCATATTAGGTCAGCCTGGAATGGAAATAGTGCAATTTCTCAATTAAGTTTTTAAAAAATGTGCATTAGTTTTGCTTGATCTATAACATTTTATTTTCATTTAAAAAAAAACTCTTTTAACACTCTTCTCATCGTATTTCGCCATTTTGTAAATTGGTGTAATTCAAAACACTTTGTTTTGACATATTTGAACCAAAATGTTTTGACCTCTCATAAAAGCCTTTTTTGGATGAAAGCAGTCAGCAAATTTGACTCGGTTTTAGCCCCAGTGAAACTGATTTTTTCCACAAGAAAATATTCATAAGGAAAGAAATAAGACTTAGGTCTAACGCTAATCTGCTGTAAAAGGAATTTAAAACCTCTTTGCATATCTGAAAACATAATCTGCATTTTCATTAGATACAGTCAATTGTAGGGAATGCTTAGCAGAAGGAGTGCAAACTGCTTGTCCTTTTTCTGCCATTGACTTGTGCATGTTCCCTTGTGCAGGCCTCTTCATCTTGGTTGCCCCTCTTCTCCCTTCTGCTTTTTTTATTTTTTTACAATAGCAAGATTTTCCACAAGCAAGATGGCTAGTTAATATTTGTATGGGTCTCTGACCATTGAAAGCAAGCTGATGATTAGAGTTTGTAATCTTAGCCACTAACTACATAAGACTATACAAGTGAAAACCTTCAAGAGCGTCACCTGCTTTTTGTCTTTCAACTCAGAAAGAATGCTAGTAATGAAAATAATTTCTATCGGGGTGTCAAAAGGAAAACAAATAACCAGCATGGAAGTTTACAAAGTACCCATGGTTCTCACGGAAAGGACCTAAGGTTACCCACACAGATATGTATACGGCTCTGAATCTGGAACAATCTGCCCAAGATACAAAACAACATCTGATGCGTATCAGATCAGAGACTAACTTCTCCCTTTGTTTGCCTCTCGCACATAGAAAAGCAATTTTTATAACCATTCTTCTTTCTTTCAATGGTCCTTCCTAGCCTTCCTCATTCTCCTCTTTTTCTCCAAAGGCTCTCTCACCACTCACAGCATTTACAAGCTACTCTGTAAAAAACTGTACCTGTTCTCACATCTGTACATGAGCAGGATGGAGCACAAGCTTAGTTCTAAATCCCCCTGGCCCTTTGTCAGTCTGCATCATAAACGTGACATGACTTCAATATGTATTTTTTATTGATACACATAAATATGATTTGTAAGACGAGTCAAATTAACAATCGATTACATACTAATGGGCTCTAATCAATAAGTTAATTTGACTAAAAGGGGGAGGGGAGGGAATCCAGAAGACACTAATTTAAAATAAGAGGACCATTTGGCTTTACAGAAGGCTACTCAGGATATAAAATAAAATGGAGGAGTCCGGTGTGGAAAAATGCAATTTCCCCTCTCTCGCCTTCTCTTTGATAAGATGTATGGTGTGTTTATTAAAGAATAAAAGAACAATTATTACATTTACAGCAGATTGGGCAGGTTCAGACAGCTGCCTGCTTGAACTATATCAATAAGAGTTGTGTCAGCCTGCTCCCTAGTGTTGTGAGAGGTGTGCAGCATCTGACAGGAGTTAATGCAAACCCAACACAAGCACATACACACACAGATCATGTTTCTAAAGACGACAGTGCGCCGCTCCAGCTGTGCCCAGTTAGAAAAGATATGAAGCCCTAAAGAGCACTCTTGCTATCTTCTGGGTGGCAAGGAAATCTCAATTATACACACAAGGGATGTGGTTAGTGGAAAAAAAGGAGAAAGAATGTTTAAATTGTATACGTAAATTGTTTTGCTTTACAAGATGGAGTAAATCAGCACATTTGTGGGCCATATTTATCTGATCCACTCAATAATAATCTTTGTGAAGGAACACCATTCATGTGGTATTTATGCCTTTGCAAAACATAACCAATTCCTTAAATTTAATTAAAGCATTAGTGAAAAATATGAAATTTTGCTCCTGAGCTAGTCATTGCTGCAGAAAGTCACATGAATATGGGAGAATATTCTTGTCAACTGCTATAAAATCCACAGCATTAACTTGATTTCTACCTGTTTGGGGCTTTGTTGTAACCTCATTCACATCCATGTGGAGCAACAAGGGCATAAAATCAGGGGAGTGAGAGGAGATTTGGGTATTGAGTGGAATTTTTTTGCATTGCTATTAAAGGGCCCAATCCTGCAGTTTTAATGCATGAAACACTTTCATTGATGTCTGTAAGAATTTGTCTGGATAAAGGTGGCTTAATCAAATGGCAAACAAAATCAGGCAATGGCATTTCAAATTCTAGAAGCTCAGAGCTCTGCTCATTCTGATTTGGTGTGGAAAGAAAAGGGAGCACAACCCCTGTTCCACGTGAAATATTCCTGAGTGACTCCACCAGAGAAGTGAATGTCCTGGAAACAGAATCTACCTATAACCTAAAGGTGTCGGGGTAACATTGTGATGGGGTAAACAGTAGTATGCTATTCTTCATGGAGAACATTGTTTTACAGTTGGTACATCTAAGTCCAATCTTTTAAAAAGAGATCCTGATTTCAGTTGCACCTGAAAAGAAGTTAGAGAAGTTACTCCAACTGAATGATGGCAGTTTGTGACACCTAGGTCTTCAGTAAAATCATGGTAGTAGACAACAGTCTCCTCATACTTAGAGTGCAGAGAGAATACATCAAAAACACTCCTCAGGTTGCTTTAAAAGGTTCTACTGACTTATTTTGAACTATTTCTTTTGAAAACGTCAACAGTTGCTAAAAAATTAACATTACACAAACACTGAATCTGTCAAGAGGAAAATCATTTTGCCAGATGTAGGCAAAGATCTAGGTTTGACTTTCAGGAGGGGTCAGTAAACCCAATTCAGAGACTAGGCAAATGGGGATTTGGCATGTAGAATAGGGGGTCATCTGATAAAGCAAGAGTCTCCACTGTTGCAGGCACTTACAACAAGATAATTGACACTGGTGAGAGTTACAGCCCCCAAGCCAAAGGTGGGGGTCTATAATGGAAGGCAACGTCACATATATCACAGAAATGTCCATAACCAAGGGGGCCATCAGGATTAGAGCACTCATAAAGATGTTGTAGTTCCCACACCTTTTTAAACATTCAGTTGATTTGCTACTGCAGGGTAACTCAAACCTTATCCTCCCTTTGAAAAGAAATGCTGTAAAACCTGGGCATTCCAACTGGCATCTTGGATGAGTCAGAGACAATAAGAAATATAATCTATATTGCTGTGTTATATCAATTATTCATTTAATACAAATAATATTAATTTAATGTAAAATGCATACTTGAAATTTGTCGAGTCTTTAGACAAAATCCCTGGTACATGTACAGTTCCTATGGATGGGAATATTTGTCCATCAGTTTTTGCTCAAACAAATTAAATCTAATTCACTTTGTATATATTTCTACCCTTTCCACAAGTACTTCAGCAAATGAATCTCGCAGCAAGAATGTCCTAGAAACAAAAAATTGTAAGTAGATAATGGGAAATATTCATGAAAAGTAAGTTCTGAAGCTGTAACTATGAATATTTGCAAAATAATCTAATTGTTGCAAACAAAGTTGCATTAATCCAGTTGGGAAGAAATAATGATGACAAACCTGTATGTCCTCTCACAAGTATATTTAGTCAACAGTTACAACTAACTGTTTGAGAACAAGCCTTAGAATAAAAGTCACATAGTAAAACCATTTTGAAAAATAAGTATTATATTTTTAATATAGTTTTGAATTACCTGTTGCTCCCTGGTGATCAGTTTCAGAAGCTGATACATAAAGTATAATCATTCGCTAAAAAAATACAAAAGCAGTTGTTAATATACCTCAAGATTCACAACCACATGCAATAAAAGGGGAAAATGTGCTATTTAAATTGTCATATTGCCATTTTCAGTATATTGATTTTAGTTTGAAACTGATATCACACCTCTTCACTTGACAAATTCTACATAATTGTTTTCACAACTAAAGAATATATGTTTTGAACCACAAGAAAACCAAGCTACTTGTTTTGTTTCAATGCTAAATATATTGAGCCTTATCCTAATTTCTCTTAGGGCAGATGAATGACATTGAAGTAAATGAAAACTGGATTCTGACTGCATAGAAGTGAATATCTGCAAGATAATTCAATGATAAAATACACTGAAATGCTTGTGATGTTCAGAGATGTGTCCATTCAAAAGTATTAGCATCTTGAATATCCAAGAAAAGTGTTTGAAGACACTACTATTGCTGTGAAAAGAGAAGTCGTTTTTTTCTTGAAAAACTTCTCTATGGCTGCATCTACACAAGATGCTGACTGCACAGTAGCTTGTTACTATTGTGCAGTAATGTCACAAGGCATGAAGTGTGACGTGATTTTACTGCACGGTACTAATGAGGTACTGTGCAGTCAGAGTCACCAAAAAGCCATTCAGTAATGCTACTGCGCAGTAATGCCTGTTATTGTGCAGTTAGTGTCTCATGTAGACGTGGCCTGTATAAACAATTTCAAAATGTTTTTAGACTCAGAACCAGCTTTGCATTTGTCCTTGAGAAAAAAATAGTAGCAGATACTATAGTAGCAATTCTAGATGTTTCAATGTTTTAGTCCTGGATTTTGCAGGATCATGAATACATATAGAGTCCCTTACCTATGTAGAGTTCCAATGAATTCAATGGGGCTGTGTGTAGGGTCTTGGGCCACTCTCCACAGAGAAGCTGGCATAATTTGCCAAACCATTTAATTATAGTATTAGGGACAGCTATGGCCAATCTTACAACAGACCGTTGGTGAATTTTGTGGAATTTTGACAATAATCTTAGTTTATGGACTAAATTTCACAACAGCTTACCTCCCTTTTCAACTGTAGTAGTCGCCAGATTTTCAAGAATGCTTATTTTAATGTATTATTTGAAAAACCTGTCAGCTGCTAGTTTTGAAACTGCTGAACAGTTTTGGAAGTCTGACACCCCTTTAATATGAACAAAGTGCTGTTAAGAAGCTGTTCTTAAGAGTGACCAATCATCTTTTAAACCTTTGACCACATAATCCACCAACTCTGTGCATTAAGTCTGTCATATTTAGGCTTTTTTACATCGTTCTTTCTACCAAACCATTATGCTTTTGCAAAACAGAACATCAAAGAAAGAGGCTCATATGCGCTTTTGGTTTTATGGAAGTATTGGAAGTTAAATTATAGATGACAAATTATTCTCACACATCTTAACAAGAAACACAAGATAAGCAGGTAAGTTTTTTCAGTCAAACAGTTATTTGAAAATTGTATAGGTATCTCCATGGGCAGATCTAGAATTTTGAAAAGGAAGGCACAGATGGTGGAGTGTATCATCATCATATACGAGGCAACACATTTTTTTCAAGTTAAAAACAATATGCTAGGGGCCTAGGGCTGTATTGAAGCTAAAATAACTTCACTGAAATGAGTTAAAAACAGTCTTCAGGGCTGTGGATGGGAGCTTCGTTATCAGGAACAGTGGACAGACAGCAGAATTGCAGAACAAAGGATAGCTTGATTGGTGGAACATCAAGACCATTAAAAAGAAGAGATAGTAACACATGTGGAATAAAGAGTTTAGAAGGGATAAGAAGAGCACAATGAACCATGAGAACCATTGTCTCCCTCAGCACTGCCTGACTAGAAATGCTGCTACCACTGCCAGGCAGATAGTTTTAAAGTTTGGGTGGATCAGGAATCAAAGGTGTGGGGGGTGCAAGTTCCTCCCCTCCACCATCCATCCCTGGTTATTGCATTAAAAACATTTTTCTTAGTGATACACTTGTATTGATTTTCTTCCTTTTTTACACTGAATGCTCACAACCCTCTTGTCCCCTAACCAACCTTATATTTTCAAGTCTATTAGTCCCCTACAATCTTTGGAATTTTTCTTCATGGAATCTATTATGAAGGTCTCACTGATTCAACCTTTTATTAGGTTGTATAGAGCTGAGCTCACATCCAGCAGCAGATAAGGATTCCCGACCTCTCTGAGCAGACATTAAAGGGGTAATGCAGCTAATATATTAAGCTTTGAATGAAGGCAGCTATGTTATTCTGCAGCTCCCTCTACGTGCTGCATCCCATCATGGCAATATGACAACTTGCTTCTGTAAAATTCCAATCTTTCCCTCCTACATCAGACCAGAATATCAATATTAACTAGGTGGAGCATACTATTGTAAAAAAATCCAGGAACTTCATAATTATAACAGGCAGTCTATATTTAACTCCTAGATTTGGAAAACAAAACAAAACTGGAGTGATGGCATGAATTAAAGATGAAATCGTCTGACTTAGATCCATAAGAAAACTAGAGCTTTACAGCCTGACCAAACAATGATTAAGTCTAATTACAAAAAGACATACTAGAAGCAATAATGGAAGGTTTCATATAAGTTATACACAAGAGACCTGTACAGCTATGAAATAAAATATTTGTAATTTAAATCACTAACACTAAAATTAAAACAGTGCATTTTGCAAGTAAGCAATACTCTGAAAGTGTTACAATCAGTCAGCACCAGACAGGAGAAAACTTCCTTTGGAATTCTGCTGGATTTACTTTGACTTTAGAGCATTCAGTGAAGCTGGAAGATACTAAAAAGCCGTATTTGGAAAGACCAACAAAAGCCAACAAGGCAGTCATGTTAAGAAAAGCACAGCTTTCTAGTAAGGTTACACTGACATAACAGATGCTAAATTGGGTTCTTCCTCTTATGATAGGTTTGATAAACATGCCCAGCAGAGAAACCTTTTTCTAAAGATGCTGTACTTCTAGGACTGTGCTTCAGTCAGGATAGTAAGGATCTGGTGAAAACTCTCATTAACTTCACTGGGTTTTTGTCAGGTCCTTTATCTGCCTTTACAAAAACACACCTGAGAAATTGTACTAATCACATGTAGAAGTCACCACATTTGTATTATTATGTATAAGGCGCATCTACACATCGCCCTATGGTGATGTTGTTATGGCTCTGTACTTTAGTACTTCCTTTTAGAAGTACTAAAACGCAGCACAGTAACTGCCTGCACAGTCATTTTTCACCACCACTTCGCTGTAATGACACGCTAAAACAGGGTAGTGTGCCACTATGGTGAAGTAGCTGCCAATCACATGTAGAGTCACATGATCGCTACGTTACTGTAGCACATTGTATGGCAACATAGTACATTCCTAGAGTGACATAGGGCGATATGTAGATGTGCCCATATTGTCATAACCCCTGGAAGCCCCAGTCTCAGACAAGGCCTCTACTGTATTAAGATACTGTACAGACACATATTAAAAACAAAGAGAAAGACAGACAGTCCTGGCACCAATGAGCTTAAAAACTCTAACTGGGCATTTGTACCTTGTTTAGAGCATTGTGTACCAAACTGCATGAAGTCCCATCCCTTAGCCTTTGAAAGCAGTTTCTCAGGTCTAGATGGCCACTAGTTACTGTTCCTAGTTGCCCTCTTGGCACTTCAGAAATAGTTTGATTACAGCTTACTTTTGGCTTAGACACTTATTCGCTCCATGGTCTCGATGAGAAAAAGTTAGCTGAAGAGAAGTTAAATAAAAAAGTTGCTTTAAGAAAAATCAGCAAGATGGATATTTCGTGTGTTTAAATGGATCCTCCTGAATGAGTACATTAAGTTTCATAAACACAGTGAATATCTTTAGCTTTATTTATTTAACTGGCCTTATTCTTCAAGATCAGGCCACAAATGTGTGGCATTTTTAAATAAGTTGCTAGGGGCTGATCCTGTAATTCACCAGTGCTGCAAGCAGTCCTGAAGACTACCTCTGAGAACAAGGACTACTTACATGAGTAAGTTTGCAGGAGTCGGTATGTTACATGTGAGGAATTCAGGCTGCAAACCCTAAGTTAACTTGTTTTGCTTAATGCTTGATCCACTTAAAACATGTGGGTTTGAAAGTTCAGCTCAAAAATCAAACATTATTGGATTCCGAGTTAGCAGAGGCAGTGAAAAAATAGTAGAGAGGGGAAAGAGAGAAAATATTTGATAACAAATAGGGAGAAAAATGCAATAGAACCTGGAGTCTCTGATGTTACTCTAGGGAGTAAAGTGAGCACATGTTGACCCCTATACTTTGCTCTTTTAATAGAATACAGACAACAGTACCAGTAGCTGACTTCTCATGTGTTTTGTCAGCAGACTCCAACCCCATTAACTATTTTTAACCGCCATGTGGACAATCATTTTGCTTCTCTGGCTTTGCACTGCAGCCCTCTCTATAGGAGGAATAATATAGTGTTACAAGCCGTAATGATGCTTCAATCAGCGTTAAACCCTATAAGCCTTCATTGCAGACGTCGGGAGGGGAGAAAGGCACAGAAGGAAGGAAGAGGAACTAAACAAATGACCTCTGATTATCATACATTGTGAGAGGCAGAGCAATAGTCATAAAGCCCTAATTAAATGTTAAACTGCAAGGAGGACTTCCAAGTCTGAAAAGAAGAGTAAGACACACATTGAAGAGACATTGGCATCTTTGGTTCTATAGTCATGAGCCTGTGGAAGCCTTTGGCCTCAACATTTACTAGCCCCTACACAAGTGCCACATTAACAGAGACATGCCTGCCCACTATTTCTACAGACACCTCACTGCTCATAAAGTGGGAACTCCAGGGCAGGAAAGGGAATACTCACTAAAATACTGCATAGTGGCGTGCAGTGCCACCTCTGAAGCCATTTAACCAGTCCACTATGTATCTGTAAGCCTACAGAAGGGTGATAAACCCCTTAGATTAGCTCCCACACACATAGGAGGAGCAGCATAATGAGACCACTCTAAGGTCTCTCTTTTCATTGCTGACTACAAAGCCAGGATGTCCATAACATCTGTTCATGGGAGCTGAGGGTATATACAATTATGTAAATCACTCTCTCCTCAAGAATAGCAAGAGGAAAAATAGGGGAAGATATAAAGAAATTAAGAATTCTTACCAACTAGAAGAGAGGTGGAAATAGCAGTTGACAGTGGGAAAATGGCTTCTTTAAGGCTACAGCTGGCCCCAGAAAAGCATGATGGGAAAAAAGATCTGGTAAGAGGGTAGCACTGCAGTGATAAGAATTAACAAGGTAGCAGTAATCCTTATTGTGATGTGAGTATTTCTAGTGTGTCCTACATTCCTAGTTAGTTATTTTCATAAGCCTTGTAGCATGTTTGTTAATTAATATTCATTTTAAAACCAGGACTTCCTTCCCTGTATCTTGCCCTTCATTTGTTCCTGAAGTGAAGTTGTAAGATGTAAGATATGTTAGGGAGGCTTTTTACTCCTTCCTTTGCAAGTGATTCTTTCCTTTGTTCCAGTGTCACCAGAATGTTTGTTACTTAGCACAGCACTGAATAAAGAAACAGGTGAATATAGGACATAACCATTCCCATGTCTCAGGCTATACCAAGCACACTGCTATTATTAAAGATGGGTCACCAAAGGAGAGATGTTAATTAGAGTACACAATACATTATTACTGATATTGTTGATTTGTTTGGCCCTGCCCAAGATGGTCAGTTAGTTCAATAGAAAAGGAGCCTAGCTAAACCCTGCTATCTCCAGCATACGTGTACTGAAGGAGAACAAGAGGAATTTTTTTTTCCACTGTGCAAGTCCAGGGAACTAACACATCATGAAACTGTAGGCTCAGCTGACATTTACAGCTTCAAGCCATGGGTCACCATCAGCTAATGGAAGTGGGGACAGACATTTTGACCTTCCTACAAGGAGAACACTTTAACTGGAATCCCTTAAAGTAATGTAGTGTTCCTTTTTGAAACAGTGGGAGTGTATGCCAATGAGAACCCTGCCTTAGCCTTTTCTGAACTATCCTGCCTGTGGTCACAGGATTGTCTATGCTCAACCCTATTTTAAGGGACCAGGATCTATTCATTAAAAGTAATATCCTTATCACAGTCCAGCTGTATCTTCTGTCCCAAGTTTGAAGTGAGCTCTATTCTCTGCCCTGAAGAGAAAGCAGGGCATGGACAAAATTTTCAAAAGAGTGGGTTTTGAATTTTTCTAAACCAAGCACTTTGATTTTCCAACTTGAAATAAAATTTCATTCTCAATTGTTTTTATAAAATATTTTTGTCCCCCTCCCCAAGAGAAAACCCCTGTAAACTGAAATGAAGCATTTCAGTTTTGTTGAAATGTGATGCTTCAGTTGACTGCAAAATTTCAAATATATTGCTTCTCATTCCAGACATGGTTTGGGAATTTATGAAATAGCTATTAAACAAAAATTCCACCATTCATCCAAATGAATCATAGTGAAAACCCTGTTGCCCCTTTTATTCTGGAAGAAGCAAGTTACATCAACCCTCGGTTTGGTGCACACAACTGCTCACTGAGTCAACTGAGTTGGCTGGTATGTGGAGCCAAGAATTCACTCATCTGCAGACAGCCAAAAGCTTCTTTTCTTCTTTGCTCCCCTTCTGCAATGCGGGTAACCCACCCAGAATAGGAAAGGATTGTCTATTATTCTTCTGCACAGGTATAGGCTGATTTACAACTGAACTATTAGGGTTTTCTTCTGCTGCTCATCACTGTTTTATCCAAGTCCCATACCAATGCTGACAATAATGAAAAATCTGAATTGGAATTAATGGAGTCTTATCACTTTTCTCCCTTTGGAGTTACAGAAAGGTCTACAAAGATATGGTGAGGTTCTCTGGAAGGGTGGTTGCTTGGTGAGGAGGAGCAGTCACTGTTGTGAATGTCAGGCTTGCTGTGGTGGGAAATCTATTTCTTTGTAAGTTCCAAATGTATATTTTACACAACTGAAAAACACCGCTCCCTGACTTTCTGTAATAAAAAAAAATGTCACATCCATCACAGAGTTCAAGGAATTTGAGTGATACATTTTAAGTTCACCAGGAAGAAATTTTGTCCATCAATTATATTCATTATGGTTACCAGAAGGAAATGGTCTTTCATAAGCAAAAAATAGAATAGCCTGTCATAATAATTTATTTATAATGGTATATATGTATTGCTTTCACCAGGGGCTTAAAAACTAGAAAGCCTAATGTATAAAAATAAAAAAGAATTTGATGATACTCACTAAAATCTGTTATGGCTCAATCTGGAGTATGTGGGGAATTTGGATAAATTCACACATTGAAATTGAAAAAATATGTTGGACTAACCTCTGTGGCTCCAAAGTAGAATTTTTGGAATGCTGGACAAGTATGCAAGCATGCAATTGATCATAATTTTTCTAAAGTACTCTCAGTGAGGCTGTTTGTTCCACTGAATTCAATATGAGTTTCATGGCTAACTTAAATGGAAACAGAATTCGACCAATGCTGAGCACTTTTTGAAAATCTTGTCCATGCATTCTGAATTTGGACAGGACTAATTTGTAGATATATTTGCAATGGAAACAATTTTCTGTGGCCACATCTATTCTGCCTTCCTGCTAAACCCTAGATTACCAGAGAAACAAACCCCACCCACCCCTTCCCACACTACACACATTCAAGTCTGGCAATTAAAGTGTAGATATTTTAGAGAGGTCCTGAGTGCATGCACTAGCACTGCTCGCAAGTCCTTTCCTCTGAGAAGCATATTCAGGCCCCCTGTAAACTGTCTGCACTGATGAATAGTTAGGCTAGACATGGCCTAAGACAGGGACGGGCAATTATTTCAGGCAGAGGGCTGTTTACTGAGTTTTGGCAAGCCATCGAGGGCCGCATGACAGGCAGCACAGGGCAAATTAATATTAATTTTCTAAAATTTTTAGGGGCCCCGCGGGCCAGATAGAATTACCTGGTGGGCCACATCCAGCCCCAGGCCGCATTTTGCCTACCTCTAGCCTAAGAGTTACATCGTCAGAACAGAATTGGCATCCTGCTCCAAGCAGAGAAACTAACGCTGAACATACTCCAAACCCCTGGGATGTAGCAATGCAATGTTGGGCAGGATCAGACCTAATGAGCTTGGAGGAAATATTCATGCGTTCTTGGCACATATGTGAATACTCTTATTCATCACTCTGCATATTGTGATGTGCCTATTCAGATGGAGGCTACAGATCCTGTGTTCTCTACGTAAAAGGATAGTATTATTTGGCTCTTTTTCACTATGTTATAGTATAGTACGTTCTTGATTATTTGGAGGTCATATGTGAAGATAATAAATTAGTTAGGCCTATACAACCTTCCTTCCCTGCACCTGCCATATATTTGAACATATAAAATACAAGCCTGAAAGAAATCACTCAGCAATAGATCGCACCTGTGATTTATAACTTCGTAATCAGAAAAGGTATAGATAATGAACTTTTAAAGAAAAAGCTAATTTGTTCAGAGGAAATATTCCTATCTGGGGTTTATTTTATCTCTATAGTGATAGTATTTCTTAGGTGCTCATAAATGTAATTCCTGGAAGTCCAGCTCATCAACTGTGTAAATGAGGGCAACAGTTTGATTCCATCCCAAATTTTTTGGGCCAACTATTGAGCTGATATAAATAGCACAGCACTGTTGACTTCAGATAATTTATGCTGTTTTATACAAGCTGTGAATTTGTTAGTTCATTTACACTGATTCTTACCTTGCTTTTCCAATGGCATTCAACATTTTTTCTCTTTCCTTTTACTCATGCTCTTCCTTTTTTTGCATATGAACAGTTTTACTTATATATCATGAATCATTTTTTCCTTGTTAATGACTAGGCTTACTTAAATGATATATAGATATTTTATTAAAAAACTTAAATCTAAAGAAGGATACATTTTCCCACCCCACACACTTAAAACACAATTCACAAGCTCTGTTTTCCTTCTCTGTAGGTACTGTCCCCTTTATCTATATGGAAATAAGTTCCTGTTAAGTTCTGGCTCAAATAATGATTATAATAATAATAATACCTAGAGTTCTTAGTAGGCACCAGAGCCTACTAAGAACTGAGCAACAAAAGAAAAGTGAAAAGGGTGAAAACACTGACTTCTGATCTGTTTTCATTAAGAGCATACCAGACTTCTTGGATCCAACCCCCAGTCCTCTTTTTGTATCTTAAGGCAAGAGATTCAAGTCAAAGCTGTGTTAGAACATGGCTTGCTCACCCTGTCTACCCCGCCAAAACCATTTCTGACCCTGCTTTGGGGGACGATATTGAAAACAGTCAAAATATAACCCTGCTAAAAACATGAATCAAAAAGTCACTGCTTGTGGATATGTTTTTAAAATTGCTTAGTTGCCTGGAAGTCCCTTTAGTGCTTGAAGGACTTTAATAAAATTGATTTTCTGAGTATAGCCTTTTAGCAGCTACTGTATAAGCTTGAAATATGAACCCTTCATTGTTGAAAGTGTTTCATTTTTGCCCTGTAACTAATGATCAAGGGAAAGAATGTGTTCAGAATTCTCCATGGCTACCATTTTCATAATTAAATCGTGCTAATAATAAAGCTTTGCAGACTTTAAACAAACTGGCACTAGAGTGGAATGTGGTTTGCAGTGTTTCATTTAGAGACCTCTGCAATTAGCCCTTAATGAATAAGCATACCACAGTGATAAGTAAGACATCTCTGTGAACTGCTTATTTACCAAAGCACAAAACTGTGACATTTTCATTCCAGTGATTGAAAATTATTCTCTAGATTTCTTCAGAGGGGCTCTTAAGTAATTATTTTGGGAAGTTAGAGCACATTAATTGTTTTTAATACCTGAAGTCTTATTTCAACTGCAGTTTGCCATGCTACCCATCGTTTATCCTAATCTGCACTACAATGAATCAAAAACAAACAGGCAAATCAGTAAAGGTACATTTAGATAAATAAGTGAATATCGTTACCTTATGCACATATTCTATTTACTACTAAGCTATAGAGAATTTGAGATATTAGAAATGCATTCATTCTGGAAATATGGTTACTGCTTAGTTTGCTTTTTAACTGTTCCACATACTTATTTTACCTAAGAATCCTACACTAGACAGTGGTTTTTAAACTTTAAGAACTAAAATTTTCATTTATAAAACATCATAGTTGCTATCCTTGAACAGATTTAAGTTCATCTGTGCTAGTTAATAAGCAATAAGACTATGTTAATTTACACCAGCTGAGGATCTAACTTCATGC